AGAATCCCTAAAAATAGTTGAGTTTTTATAGTTATGCTCATTAAAAATTTGATATACCGAAGTATTTATTTTCATTCAACTCAGCAATTAATGTAACTAAAGCAGTTGTTTTAATTAAAAGCAATAAAATTGTGTAGATTCAGAACGTTTTAAGATAAGATCTAGATAAATTAATTCAAGACTGTTTTCAGACGAGTATTAATGTTTTTACCTCTGTGAGGTTTCTATTGTTAATAAACAGTTCTACAACAGTTAAAAGGCTAGAAATATATAAAATGAACTATTTTTGGCTTGTTTAATAACTAAACCAAATCTATTTTATTGTTGCTAATATGTGATAAAGTATTTATGGGAAATTAGCAACATAAAAATATTTTCTTATTAAAATAAATACTATGTTCGCTAAAAACTATAAAAATAGGTTAAAAAATGCAAAATGTTCATTATCATGGTTGTATCACTAGAATATTTGAAATATTGGTACATAGAAATGTTTAATATGTAGAGTGCTTAATGCCTACAGAATTTTAGCAGAATAATGTAAGCATCGAAAAGTTTTAGCACGAATTATTTATGTATCTACTTGTTTGTGAATTCATAAACATTAATAAACCTCACTGAATATATCCAGTTAGTGAATTGTAATAACTATTATTTATTAAGTTTCCTGTAAATGTATTACTAAATTTTGTTATGCAATATTTTAAATTATTCGTTAGATAGAATCAGATTCGGTGGAGGCAATGCGTCGTGGTATGCTTTGATCAATTTGATTTAATTAATACCAAAATTACTTTAATTAGAAGATCCTTTTACGAAGTCAGACACTGATTAAATTGTGAGGTAAATTCGAAAGGGTGAGTGTGATTTAATAATTTAATTAGTACATTATTGGATTTTTTTTACTGGATAATATTTGTCTATGTTTCGACCTGATGGTAAGTGAAAATGTAAAATTGGATGAAAGGGCTTATCCCAGTAAAAGCCTATACACTCTGTCCTTGAAAATAAAGTAACAGAAAAACTCTTAAACTCTCTTCTTGTGAGCATCAGAAAGAAGAAAACGGCAGTCTAAATCCGTTGAAGGGAAAGTCTACAACGAAAGAGTTGCACGAAATTCAATCATTGCTTAATTTTGAATTTCATAACTTCGTCATTCTTATGTTTTGCTTTCTTTGCTAGAAAAATATAATTATAGATCTTATGACGACAAACTTCTTTAATTTAAATGTCTTTTTAATAATTTAAACGATATTTTTCGAAATGGATGAAAATGTCCAAAAATGTGAAAATTTTGATCTTAAAATTGTTTAAGATATAACAAATCTTTTTCATTTTAAAGAAAATATATTGAGGTCCAACTTCATGGTCACTGTAGTCAAGATATTCATATTGCACTATATTTACTTGAGTAATTAAACTTGCTCGCGGGCCGTGAAAAACACAGGTCGATAACCCTTTGTAAGGTTTCAGAACTGTTCTAATAAGACAAGAACATAATTGTAGTTTCGTCCATAATTTTTTATATTACTAACTAAAACTATTGAAAAATAACTAAATGTCCTCTTTTATTGATGTAATTATAATATACTTATTTTTATAAAGCCAGTCAGGGTTCAACGACCTCAAATTTGCGTTGGTAGTACTAATGCTCAATTACTGAGTACAGCTTGTGGTGCAATATGTAAATGGAACTCATGATGTCACCGGCCATATTTAGGTTTTTTTGTTATATTATCATCATAAATAACTTCAACATTACATATTTTAGGTATAAATTGCAATGGCCACCTGCAAGGGATTAAATGACCAAATAAACGAGTAATTCCTTTAGTTCAATATATGTTTATATACTGTGAGGATCAACATACGAAAAAAAAACAATAATTTTCATATAAAAAATAGTATATTAAAAACAGTTAATAATTTAATTAACACCACTAGGTCAGGTAAAATAGAAAATAAGTAGAAAAATAATTTACACGCAAGATGGGTACAAGTTATGACGTATCAGGAAGCATAACGGGTATGGATGAAGCGAGCGTCGTTGAGACCATTTGAAGTCGGAAGAGCATCCACGTAGCACTTACTGTAAGCTGTTGGTAATTATGAAAACGGGCAAAAATTGACGTTTGCCAATAATTGAAGAATGCAAATAGCTTGTATATTCCGGTTTTAAACATTATTATAGTTAGAACGTCCGTCGCTACGTCCTGCGTGCGAGGTACTATTCATGTTTAACCAGGCACTAGACATGTACATTCTCATTACCTTGGAAAGGAGTTGTTTATAAAAAAAATTTTGATATACAATCTCTATAATGGATACGTCAGTCACATTATTTGGAGAATATCATGCTATATACTTGAAAACACATGGATAGTCGTGCATATTTATGTGAATATGCATGCATGAATGCATGAATAAGAACTCCAAGAAAATAACACTAATAAGGCAATTAAACGCGAGCTATTAGTGCATCCAGCGGATACTTGAAATAAAAGTTTCGCAGCCAAGATTTATAGTCGTAATTGGTGTTTGTCCTCGCTTGAACTAATGTCGGGTTGAATGATTACATACATTGTTTTGAGGTTGGAACAGTTAGTCGGAGAAACCTTTATGTGATTATTGGTTGTTTAAATTACATCCACATTAACAGTTTACAGACATACATACCGTTATTATAATAGAAGAAAATTATAATACTAAAAAACTGAACGGCTATACTTATCTAATTTTATATTAAAAGCGAAAACATTTTAATTTCTAATTGTACAACTCACACTAAACCAGCATTCTGTAATGATTCATCGACTAAAGCTGAAACATGTGCATATAAATAATATCGTTAATAATTAATAGTAAATAAAAAAACCTATCTATTGTCAATAAATTCTGTGAATTTATATTTTTTCTGTTGGGAAGACATCTGTCGCAGATGGCACCGCACGCGTCCCACTAACTGGATATTAACGGACAACGTAACAAACTTGTAGAATATTACCTGTTTAAAAAACATGAAATTAATATTAGTTTTATGTATAAATAAAAAGAATCTTAATTTTTTCAATAGGTGATCAACCTTTAATTAGTTTTCATCGATACACGCCGCAATGACAGAATTGCATAGCAAGTGTAAATCTTAGAATAAAGTAAATTGCATGCATATTTGCAATTCGCAAACAAATGAGTCATAGCACCGCGTGTTACTGATAGCCCGAGATAATATTCGTTACGTCATCATCGGCTTCACGTCATAGTTATGCAACTATGTAGTTCAAATAAATATGCTATAAAAACCTTCATAACGCAATCGATTTTTACAAATAATACATTGAATATTTCCATCATAGTTATTGATACTAATTTATGATAAAATAGATGACTATAATTCCTATTTAACTTGTAATAACTATGCCAGATTTACGCCTAACAGATATAGAAATATTTTCATTATAAAGTTTATTATAACGACTAAAAAACCTCTGGATTATTCTTCAAAGCTTCCTGTCGGATGTCTCGGTCTATCCGGGACATTCCAGTTGCTGATGCGAAATGACTTTGATGTGAAGTAAAAAATGTGCTAAGAAGTATTATACCTGGAAGTTTGTGACCATTCGTACACCGACTGCAACTTTTTTATACCATTATAATATGATATACTTTAGATTTTTTGCACATTTAATTCCAAATAAGATTCTATTACTGTGCAATTGAGGCTAAGAACTTGTCGTATTTCAGTCCTTTAGGTTGAGGACATCATTGTAATACAGTTTTTATCCGGCTTCTCTCCTGTTTAGTTTTTTTAAGGATAAGTAGACCATGTATTCAACTTCCTTTTTGTACAAAATGTCATACAAATTATTTTGTTTTTTTTTTAGCTTACAAACAAGACACACACACACACACATACACACGCGCGCCCGCGCATATAAGAAGTATCAAAATTTCAGTATTACTGAAAATATAAAATTTCATAATAATATAAAATATGATTTCCATAATATTCTAAAGAGGAATATTACATGTAATAAATGAATGCGTACATTTAATAATACATAGTATTTTGTGCTGTAGCCCTCAATAAGTTGCATGAATTCAATTCTAATTACAATTCGCACGGAATAACATGGAGTGTAAATAATAATAAAAATGGTTTGCAGTTTTCGTTATCGGTGTGACGCCATATCGGCGCAGGCGCAACGAGAGGCTATCAACAACTAAGTGCTAGGTTTACTTGTATTCTAGACTATTCGCTAACCGAAAATGTAACAAAAAATATTTTTGAATATACAGATTTTCGATAATAATTTTTAAATTGAATATAAATTGTAGATTATAAACCAGCAACTTTTAATATTATGTCCATCGCATTTTCTGTCATGGATTTTTGTGTCGATACAATAAGAGTAATGTTGTTATCGAAAAATAGTACATTTAAGTAACATTTCTATTGCAAATAAATTTTACGATTATATGTTTAATATTTCCATTATCATATTTCGTTTAAAACTTCTGCGAGGAAACCTTTATCATTACCACCGACTGTTTTCTTAATAGAAGTGACAGCATAGTGAATTAATATAATTTATAAAATAATGATATTTTATCGAGTGTCAAGCGACACGACGCTATCGTATCATTTGATAAGGACGACAGAAACACACAGCTAGTAGAGTCCGCTTCAAACAAACAAACAAATTCCGCTGGTTCGGAAACAGATCGCATGAAAAGTCCCTAACAATAGTTTGTTTACCAGTACTTTGATCACAATTAGTTGAGCAATCATTATTATTTTCCAGTTCAGTTATACTCAGCAATTGACAAATGCTTTCTGTGTCAACAATCGCTTTGTGTTTTGGCGTAACGCTTGCCTCATTTGCATTTTCTTCAAACCGGTCGTCATCATTTACGATTGTGACAATTATTCGGCTGTGAAAACAATCGGCCCGTCAGCGGGTCGGCGAGTCAGCGAACAGTCTGTCATAAATCAGAAGGCGCTAAGGTTCGAGTGAGGCGGTCAGGTGTTGTGTAATCGAGGGGTCCCTGCTCCCCCGAGCAGCCCTCGTCCCTTCGTGGATCCGACCGGCCGCGGCGGCGTGAACATTCGTGGCACGTCCTTTGTTGACCGTTTTGTTTTGGACTGCCATCCGGTTCCTGATGCTAGAGGTGGGGGGGACAGGTGAGCGCAGGCCGCAGGTACCGTCCGCCTCGGCAGTCAGTCCACCTCGACGCGCTGAGCTGCGCGCGCGCCTCTATCGCACTTAAATACAGTAAATATGGAAATGGCGAGTCAGTCCGCGACAGGTGCCCGACCGCGGCGTTCGTGCACGTGTACTGTTAGTGAGTGCGCCAGCGCCGCTTTCCCTGCCTCAGTCACCGGTAAGTTTTCACTCCTTCTCGGTGATGTTTTTCGGTACAGGACGTCACCTTCCGCTCCTGTCTTCCCATCGCCGCCGGTTAGCTCGCATCTGTCGTTGTCGGTGCAGCTGCTAGCCGATCAATAGGTGGTATATATTTTTTTATCACATGATGTCACTTCGAGCTGAATGAGTTCGCCCTTCGCTAGCGTCTTGGGGTTCTAATACAATTAGTACAGTAGGTAGCGCTGTTCACACGGGCCACGGCGGTTCAATTCGCGAGGAGCTGCTACTTGGTAAATATTGTTCGTCGGTTGGCTGTATGTCGTAGGTGTACGTTTTTCTGTTTCGATAAGGCTGTTGCGTGCGTGTACAAGTGCTCTTATCGATTCCACACATGCGTCACTTCGATAGTTATCTTTGGCGGATCTGGGTCATTGTTCTTTTGAATTTCATGTGTTGCGCTTTGATATTGTTTCCCTGAATGACTTTAATTTAATAAAAAATATATCTGATAAGTCAATCGCTGATATTGTTGATGTAAAAACTATGATAATATTAGCTTATTTAATTAACTGGTTTATTTTAAACAAAGTCATGTAATAAAATGTCATATACCTACTTCAAGACTGTTATAATAAATAAAGTTTTTTAAAATAAAATAAATACAAATAAAGTGCATATAAAAATAAAACTGTCATTGTAAGAATGCCAATTACAAATTCTTACATACACTAGACATGACGATCATGCTCGAGTATTTGGCTCTGTGTAACAAAAAACTTCCCACCAACAAAATTATGACTGAAATGATTTATTTACATAATACATAGCTGTAGGATAATTTAAATTTTAAACGAGAAGTTTCTTCAAATACGTATTCCAAAATAAACAGCGGTAATTAAAATTACCTATTATTAACATTACAAATGAATTTATTACAATTGAAGTACTTACAACGTTTCATTACTGTTGTTAAAATAATATAAAAATGTATGTAAAATAAATATTGTCAAAAGTATCAATAGCCAAAAATGTTAATAAGAAAATAATATCTATTTACAATGACCTTATGCCATAACAATATATTTCCATGACTCGTCATCAAACCGAGTCATTTAAGGGAAATAACTCGCAAAAGGCTCAACATACCCATAATTTGTAACCGGCTTGTTAAAATAACTCATTTAATATAACTAGTTTGTGAACACATCATTAGTGCTAGAAATGCTCATATCATTAACACCTCGACATGTAGAATAACGGTCCTAGTTACATTCGTTAAACATACCTCAATTATAGCTGCCTGTTAGTTTCTGATAGATGAACCAATTGTGGACTTTAACTAAATGTCACAACGGGAAACACTATATCTTAAACAAATATATAGTATAGATCAAGTACAGTCAAAAGACTATTGTTCTATCGTAAACAAATGACGAGGATTAATCAATAAATATATTGAAGAGCATAAGTACCAAATATAGTAATAAAGAAAATTCCATACCATATTCAAAATAGACGATGGTACGTTATCGTCTCATTAGACTAACTAACGCATCCGATCTCCACCGCCGTGATACCTTATCAAGGTTGAATAAAATCGTTATTTCTTAAAGGTTTTTATAGTTGGTTAAAACTTAGATGGATTCTATATAATAGCTCTAGTATTTTTCCTGTTGGACACGCTTGGCCGCTCGTGCATAACGAGCTATTTTTTTTTTTTGGCATTTAAATATACTTTCGTATCTCAGTTTTTAACGAGGGTTTTACTTAAATATGTTATATTTTTTTTTATGTGTTTCGTCGTAATGATTTCATTTTTTTTCATAATATAATTCAGTGAACATGTTCATGTAGATAATTAAATTTGTGAATTTTCTATTGCTTTTTAATTGAAGGTTGGTAATTTCCTTATATTAATTTAAAATATATCATCCGAATTGCTGCCTCATAATTATTTTTAATGATTATAAAATGATCAATTACAAATTTTATAGTTTCTCTTGAACTTTATTTTCATTTTTCAGTTAATCACTATTTTAATTTTGAATGACAAATTATTCAATAAATAAAAAAATTATTATAAATGAAACGAAATCTCTATTTGGTTTTTTTTTATTCATTTCGGATAATACACGTTGACATTGGTAAAGATGAATGACACACTGGACCTTTGAACTCGTAAATAGCCAAAAACCAAGGTCACGCCGCTAGGTATTAACATAATTTTCAACATTACCAGAAGATTCTTAATTTGAATACAACCCAACTACAAATAACGCTTACATTTTACTATAAATTAGTCAAAGAGTCGTAGAAATAGAAAAAAGTATAAAACCTTTTTGGTTTGATCAACTGGCCGTTAGATTGCATCTGCAAAAAAAAAAAATAAGAATAAAGAAATGTAACAGTTGAGTCGCGTTTAATAGAGACCGCCAATCGACAGCAGGTCGTCCGCGGCGTCGGAGTGGAGATTTCTAATCGACGTGCGTCACGCGTCCTCCGGCCGGAACGAATCTACCGGAGATAAGCATCGAGATGGCACGGAGTATGCACATACGTACCTTGGATGTATTGACCGCCTTATATGTATGTATTGCATCTTATTTATTAATTAATGAACTATTTGACAGCTTAAAATAAAATTTTAATTGTCTTCGTAACTATAGTTACTAATAAAATTATCTTAAATAATTTTGATTATAGTAAACAGATATAGTTTCCAAGGTAAATTTTTAAAGCAGTCATTTTACAATTGTTACGCGTTCGTCATAGAAGATGGTCGAGCGTTAAGATGTTCCTGTATTGCCTTACTTATTTCATTAATATTGTTAGTTTATATGAAAAATCATAAAATATCAATTGTCGTTTCCTAAATGTTGTTGTGAGGTGCGTTTTGGGGATATGATGAAAATGGATTGTTCTCTAAACTCTTGAGCATGAAATTGTGTTCACGAGGCGTATCAGCAATTTGCGTCAGTTTTTTTTTTATCACAGTCACGACAGACTGGATTCTTCGTGGCGCGGCCAATCGCCGGCTAGAGACGGTGTAATTGGGAGAAACTACGACCACCACAAATGCTTGAGATTTAACGGCCGCGTCCATTTACCTTGGACCCTTCAAAAGACATCTTTCTTAGCGGCTAGTTGTTGCTATATAGCGTTTCGGACGGGATTGTGAGGCCAGTTTTAAATTGCCGCTCTATAATGACATGCCGTTCGCTGGGCATTAGAAGGTCTAACTGTTTCGGACCTTTTGTTCAGCGATGATTGTTTGAGCGATGGGTTATCATTTCCTAGTGGTCGACTTTCGCAGGTACCAGTTTTTGTTACGGTTCTAAAATATATATAAATATAAGAACGTTTAAAGATTTTGTGTTAATATTCTGATGAATAAAATTAATGTGATTTTGCAATTAAATAATATTTATTATAATTATATAATATAAATGATAATATATTATGGAGGATTTATGGGTAATCGCCATGTGTGAAACAGGCATTCTAATCACGAGGGCAATAAATGGCTATGCGTTGTAAGCTTTGTATCTGAATCGCTTATAAAATAGCTGGCGTACATGAACGTGGTACTTCAAGTATAGAGATAGGTTTCAAAATTATTGTCACCACGTCTCGTTATGAAAGCACCAGTTGGTATATTTATAAATATTTTTATTCATTCAATGACTCTACAATGATAATTCATTAAAATTCTCATAATATACGATTAAGTTATACACTCGAGCCGGCGTTAAGTTTTATCTTATCAAAAACACTGATTTCATATTACGAAATAGTCCCAGATTTATATAAAAAAAAAAATATTTTTATTATTACTTTAGTGTTTTTCTTTAATTAGTTTTAACTTATAGTAAATTTTATTTTGCATGTTACATATTATTGGTCCCGCTTGTAAATTCACCGCGTGGGAGACCCGATGCACTTGTTTTGCTAATGATACCAGATACGATCTGTACAGAATAAGATTGTTATTAGATATCACATTAATTAATGGTTGCTATCCTTTAATATTGATTGAAATTATTCAACTACATATAACTATATAGGACGCTCGGATTTCGAAAGGCAAAAATATCGTTTGGACAAAGTCTATGTGATCTTTATTCTTACTGAAATTTTAATTATAAAAAAAAATATCGAATTAAGTTAGTTGACTAGTCCTTGTAACATAGAAAATTTATTAATAATCTTTTGTTTTAACTCTGAACTAATTAATTTCACCATACGTATTAATTAAATATAATTTGTTTTATTTTCTAACAAAATAACATTTTTTAAACATTCCCAGCCGATGTTTTTACACAATTCTCATAGCGTTAAATACGTAACAAATATTAAATATATTTCTTGATTTTAAATGCTTGTTTTAAAGTCCATAAAACATTTATAATGTGCCACTTAAACGTAATCTGATGTAAATAATGTAAATAATAATTATATGCATATATAATTATGTACTGTAGCGTGTCCCTTCTGTTCTTTTCCGCAAACAATTCGTTTTTCTTTACTCTATAATAGAAAATAACAAAAACTATTGTTGGTTCGAACCGAACTAAAAATAGAATAGCTATGTGTCATATTCGTATACATTTATCTCTCTCCATCATAAATGATTGAAGCGGGACGGGTATACATCAAATTACTTGGACTGTAATTCGTTTCAATTTGCTTTTTCAATATAATTCTGATTGCATTACATGACCATGTTTAATCGTTGGGTACATTGGCAGTATTGTGTCAACGGTTGGTATTCGTTTCGGCTGTGTTGCCTCCGCTATGAACGGAAACACGATGTTATACAATACTTGGTGATTCCAAACTGGTTTTATTTTACCGATTTCACATAAAGAGGTTTAAAATAATTTTATATGAAAGATCAAAGTTTTTAAAGTAAATTTTTCGAATAATCTATTTTTAGTTGCATCTAGAATAACTGTATAACAAACTATGAGTGCAGTCTGAAGTCATGTTAGTTTTTTTATAAATAATCTTAATATAATGAACAATTTTTCTCATAAAGGAATGCAATTATATAAGAAGTTAGATATTATTAAAACATCAGTTTTGATATCGTATTCTCAATAATATATCGTGATAAATATTCTTCGAAATCGTTATTAACA